GCTTCCTCTGATTGATTACTTTCTTTTTCAGCAGAGCAATTTTATCAAGTGAAGTTTGCATTGAAGTTATAAAATTATCAACCAGATCGTCTAAGCCACTGTTCCCTACTGCATTACTCTGCAAGACAGAGGAAAATAACATTGGACATTGTGGACTTTTTAAATGTTCGGTCTCAGCGGTTGAGGGTCAACGAGGTTCTCTCTGATGTCCTCTCTTCTACCGGTTCCCCTCAGGGCCGTATTCTTTTGCCCCTTTTATTCATTTTATATACGAACGATTGTCGCAGCCATTTTTCACAGCATCACATTTTAAAGTTTGCTGGTGACTCTGTCATCCTATCCCTTCTGAGCAGTGATGACCCAGACCCCGGTCCAGTGATTGGGGACTTCACTGAATGGAGCAAATGTTTTTAAAGCTATATGTTTCTAAGACAAAGGAGATGGTCATTGATTTCAGAAAAAACTCTTCAGTTGCAGCTCCTGTGGTCATTAACAGTGAAGCTGTTGAGGTGGTGCATCAATATAAATATCTAGGAACTGTTCTTGATGACAAACTGACCTTTGACCACCATGTGAACTCACTTTGTAAGAAGGCCCATCAGAGAATGTATTTTTATCAGAAGCTCTGTGGTTTGAATGTTGATTTGACTTTTATGAGAATGTTTTATTGAGTCTCTTTTTTAACTTTCACCTTCATCTGTTCGTTTGGACTTGTGACATGCAAAAACAGGAACAAACTCTTGGGGATTGTCAAGAAGTGCAGCAAAGCTGCTGGCACAGCCCTACAGAACCTCACTGACCTACAAAATCTCACTGACCTATACACGGTGAGGTCAGTGAACAAGGCCAGGCTGATTCTGGCAGATCCTGATCACCCACTTCATGGTGAGTTCATCTTGCTTCCATCTGGACGCAGGTATCTGCAGCTCAGATGTAGAAAAAACAGACCGAAAAAACTCATTCATCCCTGTAGTGATCAGGCTTCTCAATGTTAGAATATTATCTAGACTGATCCTGTTTTTTTTTTTTATCTGCTCAGAGACGGGATTATAATGACATTATTACCCGGTTCTGAATGGGTTAAATGGGGCCAGCAACTCTAAAGAGTCTCCCAGGGATTCAGTATCCATCAAGGAATAGAGTTCATTTTGCTTGCTACATCATGCAGAAAGGCTTTTGAAACACCGTCTCATTTTTTCCTTCCACGTCAAACCACATAAGATCCACTGAGATCACACTTAGTCACGCCCCCTCATACACGTGACAGGTTGTGCTCCCCTTCTGTGAAGGAGTTTAGGCCCTATAAATCTGGAATGCCATGGGACATCCACTCTTGCGGTTCCTGATCACGTTGTAGACCGGATTGGCCAGCGCTGTAAACTGTAACAACAAAGTCCATGCTCAATAATCCAGGTATAAAATCTAACATTTTTCAGTCAGGTCATCTGGACAGTTTCTTTTTTGTAAACTGTAACCTTTTCTTGATTTAATACAATTGGTAAAACTGAATTCCCGTTTCCTTTATTTATTAAATAGTGTGAGTTGCCACTTCTGAGGGAGGTCCAAGCTGGGGAGAGCAGCATGGGCTGGAGGTGGCTCCTGGGTATAAGTTGTAACAACACTGATGATTTCCATCCATCCATCCATTATCTTTACCCGCTTATTTGATTTTTGGTCACGGGGGTCGCCGGTGTCCATGTCCAGTGATCACTGTGCGAGGGGTGAGGTACATCCTGGACAAGTTGCAAGTCCATCACAGGGACACATAGAGACATACAACCATTCACTCTCTCACACCTAGGGACAATTTTAAAGTTACCAATCAGTCTAACATGCATGTTTTTGGTCTGTGGGAGGAAACCGGAGCACCCGGAGAAAACCCATGCATGCACGGAGAGAACATGCAAACTCCATCCAGAAAGGCCACCGGATCGGGATTTGAACCGGGGCAACCTGCTCGCTGAGAGGCAGCAGCTCTACCAGTTGCGCCACCGTTCTGCCCCAGTTCAGTGTATGTTAAATAAAAATTCTGTTTAATCTCAGAATCTAGAAAATTGTTTTTTACTTATTCTCTTTTTAAATTTCAAAGACCTAGCTTTCAGTTGAGTGTAATTACTTAATGCTCAGAATATGTGTTGTGGATAAGCCTTAGCTACAACTACACTAAACCTTTGGTCACTATCTGTAAAATTAACTGTTAATTTACTAACAAACAAAAATAGTATTGCCTGTCACTGAAAGGCAAATGGAGGCCATGATAGATTTTCATATTGTAGAGCAAGTCAAATAAAGAAAACATCACTTTATCAATGCTTTATTTTATGATTTGCACACCAGGAGAAAAATCAACACCCAATGATTCATAAGTTAGATTTAACTGATTTGCTGGAGAGTGACACATTTCTTCCACTTTCAGCTCATTTAGAGACTCATTTTCACCAAGGAAAGCTCCTAAGAATGGAAAAATGCACATTTGTGCACATTGTACCACAATCCTGACTGCCTTTAAAACAAACTGAAGAAGCTGACCAGTGCCTCCTCATTCTCATTCTCCTTCTCCAGTTTGGCACCGTTACAGAAAGGCGGTGGGGTGAAATGCTGAGGGTCTGCAATTCCAACGACGTTGTTGAAGAAACTGAAATATAATAATAATAAAAAAAAAGATGAACAGCTAGCAAAACCAGAGCTGATGGAAAATTAACCAATTGTGGAAGTAGCTTCTTCCTGGTAAGTTTAGATGTATTCTTCTGCTTTCACTAAAATATTCAACCTTTAGCCTTTTCTTCTGTGGGGGAGTTTAGTTTTGGAGACTTGCACTGCATAAAAAAGTATGTCAACATCAGGGAGAAGTTTACTTCTTAATCACAAGATTACAGATTCTTTCACTTTAATGACTTAAACTGACCCAATAAAAGGATACTTTATTTTAATCAGAAGGGTTTATGTATCGGGGCATAGTAAAAAATACTTTTTACAAGGTCCTAAATAAAATAAATACAACTACACGTGATATATTACACCACATGTCAAACTCAAGGCCCGAGGACTAATTATGGCCCTTGTTAACATCTTCTCTGGTTCCCAAGGTAATATATTAAAAGTTTAATATTTTTATTGCTTCTCATTTTAGTTAAAAACTGCATATTTTAGTGGTTACTTGCAAGGACAGATTTTCAGGCCAGGTTACAAAGAAATATAGGAGGTACACACATGCAACCCAGTCACAAGAATCTGCCATGCGCAGTGTGCGAAGCTTGTTTTTTATACGCTTAGTTCAGCTGAGCTCACAGACTGGGAGACAGTCTTGGAGTTTCAGCTGCATGTAGCAGCCTCACCCAGCTACTCAGTCAGCTTTCTACTAACCCAAACATATGCTTCATGGGCAGAGTTAACATTCTCTGCCATACTAGTTAAAAAACATCCATAAACTTTGACGAAAAATTCCCTTATATCTATGAACTTTAATTTTTTTGCTGGTGAAAGAATAACATTAGTTATTTGGTGAATAAATAATTTGAATGAATAAACATGTTAAATTATACAGCATGGCATGATACCCCTATACTTGTGACTTCTTGACATTTGTAAGCATATTCATTTCAAATTCAATCACATCTAATTCACAACACAGTTTGAAGTTTGCTGCAGATTTTCTGCATCTATAACTTTTTCTATTGAACCAGGTTATGTCTTGCTGCTGCTCAATAATCCAATAGATAAATATAACAAGGTTAAATCAGGTCTTTTGTCCAAAAGACTTCTTCAATCTGAGGAGCTGCAACAAACTCCGTCTTGTAAACTGCACCTTCTCAAAGTGGACCAGCTAGTTTGCTGGTGACACATAAAACTAGTAGTTTTTGCATGTGAACAACTAGTTTTGAGTGTAGTTTTGCAAGCTTCAGAGACACTGGGTTGTTTTTTTCCATACATGCCCCAAACCTTCAGTTTTAAACAGGCCATCACTAAATAAAGGTCATTGCCAAGCTATTTGGGAGTCCATAGATTTACAGAGAAAGCACAAACACATCATAGCAGCTGTCAGCACGATGGGGTAGGGCTTATGGTTTGGGCTCTTTGTTTTCAATTAGTCAGCATGGACCCGTTTGTAGATCAAACAGTTCTAAGAAACAAATCAGTTTGACAGCGATCAAACTAGATCATGATCCAACGGAACCAGTGGTGTAGTCTACATTTTTGTAATGGGTATTCTGTGCTTAGAAACCAAAGGACATTGAAAGGACAAAAATCAATTTATTTTTGATTTTTAAGCATTTCCAAATTTCTCTGATGCTTATATTTGAATAAATGAACAACAAACTTTGTACAGCAGTTGGCTTTGTATTAAAAACATGTTATAGAATTTATAAAACAGTATCAAAGTAAAGTGCTGCATATCGATAGATTGTTATGGAAGCATTTAACTGCAGTTTAATGTATCAATGACATGTGCCTAATGATATGTGATGTATCATTGGGCACTTTTAAGTGGGTACACTGAAATTCTTAAGCTTTTCTAGTAGTTATACCTTGTATGCCCGAGTATCACGTAGACTACACCACTGAACGGAACATCAATCCTAAACACAAGCAACGAATTAGTGGTTCTACAAACTGCTGAACCATAGCACATATGTAGTTATTTATGCTCCTCTTCTGCATTTTGGATTAGTTCCTGTTTTATAGCTCATCTAATGGTTTACCATACCAGATGTTTTTCAAAAGTAGGACCTAGTACAGAAACTAGATCCATTTTTAGTTTTGGATTGGAAAGACATCATTGTTTTCATGACTATAACCCCGTTTATTCCATCAGTAAAGTTTTCAGAGACAACAAAAGAGATTATGTTAAACCATCTAAGTAGAAACATTAGCACTTTGTCACTGAGATGACTGG